ATCCAGCTCTCACATCCGTACATAACTACTGGAAAAACCAAAGCTTTAACTATATGGACCTTTGTTGGCCAAGTGATGTCTCTGCTTTTTAATACACTGTCTAGGTTTGTCACAGCTTTCCTTCCAAGGAACAAGTGTCTTTTAATTTCGTGGCTGCAGTCACTGTCTGCAGTGATTTTGGAGCCCAAGAGAAAAAAACCTGTCACTGTTTCCACTTTTCTTCCTTCTGTTTGCCATAAAGTGATGGGACCAGATGCCCAGACTTTAACTTTTGTTAACATTGAGTTTCAAGCCATCTTTTTCACTGTCATCTTTCAGTGTCATCAAGAGGCTCTTTAGTTCCTCTTCACTTTTTACCATTAAAGTGTATCAGCTGCATATCTAAGGTTGTTGATATTTCTTTCAGCAATCTTGATTCCACCTTGTGATTCATCCAGCCTGGCATTTTGCATGAGTTCTCTGCAAATAAGTTAAATGAACAAGGTGACAATATACAACCTTGTTGTACCCCTTTCCCATTTTAAACCAGTCAGTTGTTTTATGTCCAGTTCTAACTGTTCCTTCTTTGCCCACATACAGGTTTCTCTCAAGACAGATAAGGTGGTCTGGTACTCCCATGTCTTTAAGAATTTTCCAGTTTGTTGTGATCCACACAGTCAAAGGCTTATCATAGTCAATGAGGTAGAAGTAGATGTTTTTCTGGAACTTCCTTGTTTTTTTAATGATCCAAGGAATGTTGGCAATTTGATCTCTGATTCCTCTGCCACTTTGAAACCCAGCTTGTACATCTGGATGTTCTTGGTTCACACATTGCTCAAGACTAGCTTGAAGGATTTTGAGCATAACCTTGCTAGCATATGAAATGAGCACAATTGTATGGTAGTATGGACATTCTTTGACATTGTCCTTCTTTGGGATTGGAATGAAAACTGATCTTTTTCAGTCCTGTGGCCACTGCTGAGCTTTCCAAATTTGCTGACATGTTGATATTTTAAAAATCACAATTCTCTCTATCTCAGTAATTTATACAGCAAGTTAACAGAAAATTTGTAAAGATATAGCAGACGTTACAACACTTGAGCAACACTGCTGACCAACTTGACCTAACTGACATTTATGGAACATTTTCTTCCAATAATAGCAGAATACACATTCTTTTCAAGTGCACATGGAAGATTTACATGATCATAAATTTTGATCAATTGGGCCATAAAACTTGTATGTTTTCTACCCACAGCAGAATTTACTTAGAAATCAACCAAAGAAAAATATATGAAAATTTAACAAATATGTGAAGACTAAACAGCACTCTTCTAAATAACCCATAGGTCAAAGAAGAAATCAAGAGGGCAATTAGAAAATAGCTTGAGTTGAATGAAAATAAAGATACAATATATCAAAATTTGCAGGATGCAACAAAAGAATAGTTCAGTTCAGTTCAGTCACTCAGCTGTGTCTGACTCTTTGCAACCCTGTAGACTGCAGCACTCCAGGCCTCTCTGTTCATCACCAACTCCCAGAGTTTACCCAAACTCATGTCCATTGAGTTGGTGATGCCATCCAATCAGCTTATCCTCCATCATCCTCTTCTCCTCCTGCCCTCAATCTTTTCCAGCATCAAGGTCTTTTCAAATGAGTCAGCTCTTTGCATCAGGTGGCCAAAGTATTGGAGTTTCAGCTTCAGCTTCAGTCCTTCCAATGAATACCCAGGACTGATCTCCTTTAGGATGGACTTGTTGGATCTCCTTGCAGTCCAAGGGACTCTCAAGAGTCTTCTCCAACACCACAGTTCAAAAGCATCAATTCTTCAGTGCTCAACCTTCTTTATAGTCCAACTCTCACATCCATACATGACCACTGGAAAAACCATAGCCTTGACTAGACGGACCTTTGTTGGCAAAGTAATGTCTCTTCTTTTTAACATGCTGTCTAGGTTGGTCATAACTATTCTTCCAAGGAGTAAGCATCTTTTAATTTCTTGGCTGCAGTCACCATCACAGTGATTTTGGAGCCCAGAAAAATAAAGTCAGCCACTGTTTCCACTGTTTCCCCATCTTATTTCCCATGAAGTTATGGGACTGGATGCCATGATCTTAGTTTTCTGAATGTTGAGCGTTAAGCCAACTTTTTCACTCTCGTCTTTCACTTTCATCAAGAGGCTTTTTAGTTCCTCTTCACTTTCTGCCATAAGGGTGGTGTCATCTGCATATCTGAGGTTATTGATACTTCCCAGAAATATTTCTCTTGATTCCAGCTTGTGCTTCATCTAGCCCAGCGTTTCTTTTTTTTTTTTTAGTTGGAGGCTAATTACTTTACAATATTGTACCAGCGTTTCTTATTACGTACTCTGCATATAAGTTAAATAAGCAGGTGACAATATACAGCCTTGATGTATTCCTTTCATGATTTAGAACCAGTCTGTTCCTTGTCCAGTTCTAACTGTTGCTTCCTGACCTTTATACAGGTTTCTCAAGAAGCAGGTCAGGTGGTCTGGTATTCCCATCTCTTTCAGAATTTTCCACAGTTTATTGTGGTCCATACAGTAAAAGGCTTTGGCATAGTTAATAAAGCAGAAATAGATGTTTTTCTGGAACTCTCTTGCTTTTTCGATGATCCAGCGGATGTTGGCAATTTGATCTCTGGTTCCTTTGCCTTTTCTAAATCCAGCTTGAACATCTGGAAGTTCATGGTTCACATATTGCTGAAGCCTGGCTTGGAGAATTTTGAGCATTACTTTACGAGCGTGTGAGATGAGTGCAAGTGTGCAGTAGTTTGCGCATTCTTTGGCTTGCCTTTCTTTGGGATTGGAATGAAAACTGACCTTTTCCAGTCCCGTGGCCACTGCTGAGTTTTCCAAATTTGCTGGCATATTGAGTATACTTAGCATTAATACAAATATTTATATTTGAATTAAAAAGGTTTAAAGTCAATAACTTAAACTTCTACCTTAATAAACTAGAAAGAGAGGAGAGCATATTATACCCAGGTAAGCAGGATAAAAGAAATAATAAAAAAAAAAGAATAAATCAAGAAAATTGAATAAAGAGAAACATTAGAAAAAGCCATAAGTTGTTTTTTTGTAAAGATCAATAAAACTGACAAATTTCCAATCAGATTAATTGGAAAGGAGAAAACAAATCAACAATATCAAACATGGAAGAAGAGATATCACTACAGATCCCACATGAAAAAGATTATAAGAAAATATATGAATAACTTGATGCCAGTAAATTAGAAAACTTGAATGACATGAACAAATTTCTTGAAAAGACACAAAGTTTTACTCAAAAAAGAAAAAAGCCAAAACAGCCATCTATCGATTAAAAAATTGAAGTTGTAGTTTAAGTATCTATCCATAAAGAAAACTCTAAGTCCAGATATCTTCACCATTGAATTCTATCAAATATTTAGTGATGAAATAATGCCAATTCTACACAACTTATTTCATTAAGTAGAAGAGGAGGAAACACTTCCTAACTCATTCTGTGATGCCAAAATTACCCTGATCTGCAATACCAGCTGAAGACATTACAAGAAAAGTATAGACTAACATCCTTCATGAACATAGATACAAAAATTAATTTCTTTTTTTAATAAAAAAAATCTTTTTTGGCTGCACTGCGTTTTCACTGCTGTGCATGGGCTTTTCTTGAGTTGTGGTAAGTGGGAGCTAGTCTTTGCTGCAGCATGAGGGCTTCTCATCATGGTGGCTTCTCTTTTTGCGGAGCACGGGCTCTAGAGTGTGGGCTCAGTAGTTATGGCACATGGGCTTAGCTGCCTCACAGCACATGGAATCTTTCCAGACCAGGGCTTGAACCTGTTATCTCCTGCATTGGCAGGCAGATTCTTAACCACTGGACCACCAGGGAAGTCCAATGCAAAAATGCTTAACAAAATGTTAGCAATATACTAAAAGGATAATACATTAGCAATATAGTAAATCTAGTGCTGTATTATGGGTTAACAAAACTAAGTTTATTAATATATTTACTATAAAAAATACCAGCAAAGCTATCCAAGTTGTAAATCTTCTCATCCTTCCTGAATAAGGAAATACATTAGAGAAAGAATTTATTACTTTATAAATAGGGACTTCCCTGGTGGTTCAGTGGTTAAGAATTAGCCTGCCAACACAGCAGATGTGGGTTGGATCCTTTATCTGGGAACCAATATCCCATGGGGCAACTAAACCCCTGCACCAAAACTATTGAGGCTGAGCTCTAGAGCCTGCAAATCACAACTATTGAAGCCTGTGCACAGCAACGAAGGAGTGCAGACAAAAATAGATAAATATACAAATAATTATTTTTTAAAAATAGCTTTCAATCAAGCCCTCAAGCCCCAAATCTTGGCTATGCTCTATTGCCCTTGGTTGCCCCAAGATGCTATAAGTACTTATGTCCTAAAATGGTGTAGCCTAGAGCCAATCCAGAAAGCTTTCTCACAGGGCTACACTTGCTCACTTATGGCTTGGCCTACTGGGTATGCATTTTCAGGAGAGTGGACAGGGAGACAACCAAGGGTGAGAAGATAAAAGGGGCAAGGAATATTCTGTTTTCTAGAAGCTTCTGAGAATAGCTCTTTCTCCTTTTAAGGAGGTTGGGACAACTTTGTAATCAAACACAAAGGAGTGTCCACTCTTGAGTAGGCTGCCTTTCTTCCTCATGTCACATTGCTTAGATTTACATTATATCCTGACCATAGGGAAGAAAAATCTGGAAGGCATACCTCTTGCCTTGCCTTAGCTGTCAATTTTTTAAAATGGGGCTTCTAATGAGGTCTTCAAGACCCATTTGTGGGCTAACATACAACTATCTGCCATGTCATTTTTATGATTTCATATCAGGTACCAAAGACAAGACAGATCACTGCTTTCCTCTCAGCTGAAAATCTCACTTGGCACTGCTAACAAGCTGCAATTAAATGATTGTCCCCATGATTAAACCCAAGCACCTTGTTTTGGAAGGTGAACAAGTAAAGCATTTTAGTTTTCTACTCACCATGTTAATATTTGAGTGAATTCCAACAAGTCATTTTCTCCTTCTTTTCCCTTTCCATCTATGCCATTATCTGCCAAATACAGCTTTACTAACCAAGGACCAGTTTCAATCAAATCTTTAATTTTTTTCTTGATTCCTGTAGAAAGATCAGAGTATTTGATTATTTTTAGACAATAGTTCTCCCATTTCACCACCTTAATTGATTTTAGTTTTTAAGATTATACTGATCTAACTTGTGTGAGTAGATGCATTTAGCAACATAGTGAAGGAAATGCATATAACTTAAGAAGTCCTTTAAAAAATACTCAGAATATCTTTTTTCTTTATAATAGCAAGCTCTCTATGAATGAAAAATCTCATTTAAGATTTAAATTGTTGCCTTTACTTTGGCTAAAGAGAAAATCAACATCTCTGGAAATTTCTCAGTAGAAGGTGTTGTCTGTTGATTCTGAAGAAGTGGTAGCCCTTTTATCAGGTTGGTGAATACATAACTACAGTTTTGGACCATAAATTTTAAATCATTATAACTAGGGTGAAACACATCTTTATTAATCAAAATAGGAACCATTATAAAATCAACACATTTTTGCCAATGAGAAATAAGTTTGCTTATTCCTGTAGCATAAAAATCTGTGAATAGGATTCGATGAACTCTTTCTTGGAAGGCATCTTCTATCTCCTGCTGGTTGTGGAAGCATTTTCCCTGCAAAAAGTTGTCTGGATGCTTGAAGAAGTGGTAGTCAGTTGGCAAGAGGTCAGGTGAATATGGAGGATGAAGCAAAACTTCGTAGCCCAATTCATTCGATTTTTGAAGCATTGGTTGTGCAACATTTGGTTGGGCATTTTCGTGGAGAAGAACTGGGCCCTTTCTGTTGACCAGTGCCGTTTTGCAAGTGTTGCAGCTTTTGGTTTATCTCATCGATTTGCTGAGCATACTTCTCAGCTGGGATTCAGAGAACAGTAGTGGATCAGACAGGCAGCAGACCACGAAACAGTGACCATGACCCTTTTTTGAGTGCAAGTTTGGCTTTGGCAAGTGCTTTGGAGCTTCTTCTTGGTCCAACCACTGAGGTACTTGCTGATTGTTATATACAATCCACTTTTTGTCACACATCACAATCCCATTGAGAAATGGTTCATTATTGTTGTGTAGAATAAGAGATGACTCTTCAAAATTATGACTTTTTGATTTGTGATCAGCTCATGAGGCACCAACTTATCAAGCTTTTTCACCTTTCAAATTTGCTTCAAATGCTGAATGACTGTAGAATGGTTGACACTGAGTTCTTTGACAATTTCTCGTAGAGTTGTAAGAGGATCAGCTTCGATGGTCCTCTCAGCTGGTCGCTGTCAATTTCCGATAGCCAGCCACTATGTTCTTCATCTTCAAGGCTCTCGTCTCCTTTGCAAAAGTTCTTGAATACTGTATGTTAGCAATTCCTGAGCCAAACGCGTTGTTACTGTTGTGACTTGTCTCTGCCACTTTATGACTCATTTTGAACTCGAATAAGAAAATCATTCAAATTTGCTTTTTGTCTAACATAATTTCCATAGTCTAAAATAAATATGAAATGAACAGCTAGTAATAAGTCATTGACAAATAAACAAAAAGATTAAAATGATGTATAAGATAACCACATTTATTTAAGAATGTATTCTAATATGAAATGGCAAATTTCAACAATGCAAAACTGCAATTACTTTTGCACCAATTTAATACAAGGATTCAGCCTTCTAAAAGAGCCTGCATAGTTATCACATTTTTTGAGTTCTAGAAGGACAAATTTGGAGGAAGAATCATCCTGCCTGAGTTCAGTGGTCCTGGAGCCTGGTTCACCCTCATTCTATACAGCTTTCACAAAATTCACATTTTGGGGGGTATTTAATTTTTATTGGAGTGAAGCTGATTCACAATATCATATTCACATTTGATTTATAAGTTTAGGAGTTTGGCAAAGGAAAAAAAAACAGGAAGGGGATGGAGAAAGAGAAAAGAGTTATGGATACAATGCTGGTTTATCCACTCATAAGTGTGAGATGAAACAGCTGAATCTCCAGTTAGGAAGCTGATCACTTCCCCCAGGGCCTCCAAGAGTTTGTAGGTAAATGCTTTGCGTGCACTGTGACCCTGGGAATCCCAGCCAACTACTTCATGAGAGGCTTGACTGAAAACCAATGACCTGTTCCAAAGTCAGGAAAGAAAATGCATGGAACTTAGAGATAACATATATCTATATATTGTCTTGTGTTGGCAGTTCAAAGGATTATAAAGGCTCATTTAGGGACTTTCCTGGTGGTCTGGTGGTTAAGACTCTGAGCTTCCAATGCAGGGTGTGTGGATTGGATCCCTGGTGGGGAAACTAAGATCCCCACATGCTGCCTGACCCCCCCGCCCCCCAAAAAAAAGAAAGAAAGAAAGAATGAAGAAATGAAAAGGGAGATTTTAAAGGTTTATTTAAGGAATTTCCTGGCATTCTAGTGGTGAGGACTCAGTGTTTTCATTGCCATGGCCTGGGGTTCAATTCCTAGTCAGGAACTAAGATCCCACAAGCTGTGCATCAAAAAAAAAAAGCTCATTTAGCTAAACACTAATTTTGCCTGGCATACTGACTTGAGAATCTAACCCCAGGGCTGGATGGGACTCTTCTGTTCTTGAATTCATTCAGCATTCAACAAATATTTTTGAGCTCCTATTATGTGCCAGCCACAGTTCTAGCTGCTGGGAATTTAACAGAGAGCAAAAGAGACAGAACTTACTACCCTCATGAAGCTGAGGCAGTATGTTACCTAGTGTGTGGGAAGAGCAAGGAAGAGACAAGAGTGGATGATAACTCAGGGTATGTTTTCAAGTCATGAGAGATAACTGACTTTTTAGGGAAAGGTGACAAATGTGGACATTGGATCATTCTAGCTTGCCAATTTAAAAATAAAAGCATGCTTTTAAAAAAGATTCAATTGGTTTATTTGGATATAAATGTAATCTGCTGAGTTACTGAAGGAAATAGGATTTATTTTCCTTCAAAACATAGTTAGAGGGATGACAACAAGCCCATCCTTTAGTTTTACTGAAGATAAGCCTAACTGGTCCACACCTCATTTGTCCTTACATTCAGGTTATGAGAATGATAGCTAATGACAGCCATTATGAATAATATAACAGTGCCAATGTCCTAGCACAGTATCTGGCATACCATAGGTATTTAATAACTGTTTCTTGAATAAATGAGTGAATCAATGAATAAGTGTAACCATGTTGTAGAAAATTTTATCTCACCATTCATTGTATTTCCAAGCCTGGTGTAGTTAGTGCCTTGAGACAACTCATGAACATGAACAAAGTATGATTTTTCTATTTTGGACATCTCTTCACAAATATAAATGCCTTTAAGAAGTTGACTACCCAGAATGATTAACAATGTGGATACTGATTGCAGGTGGCACTCATTTCTGTTTGCCCCGTCCTGGCTTGCCAGAAAGCAGCAGTGATGAAACGTGAGGCCAAGGGGGCCAAGGCCAAAGGCCAAATTCCTGTGCAGCTGCTCAGCTTTGCAAGGAAAGGAACAAAATGGTCTCAGCCAGTCATCACCCTGTACCGAGCTAGTGTGGCATAACTGTGTACAGTTGGAGAAGGAGGCTCCCAAGCTTGTGACTGTCCTGGTCCAGCTTGCATCCCCATGGGTAAAACAATCCAAATCTCACTCCAACTGGTGGTAAGAAAGGTAATAATGTCATCTGGGCCCATGAAAAATAACCAGTTTAGAAAATGCTAGTCCAAGGCACTCTCTAGAATTTAGACCTCTAGGGAGTCCCACATGCCCTGTTAGAAGGTAGGAAGGCTAATGATGCCTTAGGTCAGGGATTTCCTGCTCCAAGACCCTAACTAAATTTCAAGCAGAACCAAATTCTTTTCTTTGAATGGGAAACAAATTCCTTGGAGTAAGAGTAAGTCCATGCTCAGCTCCTGGTAATACTTGATCCACCCCAGCTGTAATCACTCCAAGCTAGTTTTACCTAATCTTACACTTCTTTAAATAAAAACAAGCTCACTAACAATGACCACTTTAAGTGACCCTCCTCTGTCTCAGAGACCTTAGTAGTGGTATAGTGATGCCTGCTGTGCCTGAGACAGAGTGGTGTACTGAAATGAGAAGAATCTCCAGGTTTGAAACCTCTCTGAAAAATACTGTGTGACTCCCCAGAAAGTCACTTAACTCCTCTGAACCTAAATGTCCCCATTGCTGACATATAGATCATAATACTCATATCCTGGGCTTCCTAGTTGGCACTAGTGGTAAAGAACCTGCCTGCCAATGCAGGAGACATAGAGATGCATAGTTCGATCCCTGGGTTGGGAAGATCCCTTAGAGGAGGGCACAGCAACCCACCCCAGTATTCTTCCTGGAGAATCCCATGGACAGAGGAGCCTGGTGGGCTATAGTCCATAGGGTTGCAAAGATACACGACTGAAGCGACTTAGAACACACACACGCACTCACATCCTAAATGCATTGTGAAGACTGACTTGGGAAGCATGGTGGAATAATGACTGTAGAGTCATGTAGTGCACAGCAAATATTACTGCCTAGCTTTCCAGCTTCATTTCTGGAGTGTGTGTCATTGAAATCCTTGGATGGGTACAACCTGATGGAGAACCTCCACATATAAAATGTCCCCACTTCTGCCAGTGCCTCCCTGAGGATCAGATACATGTTTCTGACAACTGTATGCCTCACCAGGGAGCCATACCACAGATCCAATGTAGATTTGCCCTACCTGCAGCTTCCTCCCATTTTTTCTTCAATTAATCTCTGAGATTCCCCAGCTTTTCCTGATTCCAGAACCTTTCTTACCACCCTCACTAGGTCCTGTCAGTTCTCCCTCCTAAATATATCTAGACTCTATATTTCCACCACTGCAGTCTCAGTTCTGCCCTCTATCTTCTTTTGCCTGATCTACTGTAACAGCCTCCAAACTAGTCTCCCATTATCCCAATGTCCAACTCTAAAACAAGTGCTGCAAAGCTGCTGGAGGTTCTTTTTAAAAATCCAGCTCTTTTTATGTCACTGTCTTGTTTCAAATGCCTCATGGCTCCCCCTCTGCACACAGAAGCAAGTCCTGTTCCTTAACAACATTCGTGGCTTTTGGCCATTTGTGTCCACTGGCCTCCAGCCCTCTCCCCTGACCACTCTGCAGGGAATGTCACACTTTCCAGATGCTGAACACTCCAGGCATTTTCACCCCGGACCCTTTTCTCACCTGGTTCCCTTTGCCTAGAATGCACTCTCTTTCACAGCTGACGAACCTCTTCTCATTCCTTCCAGCTGCTGGGCTGTGCTGTGATAAGTCGCTTCAGCTGTGTCCGACTCTTTGTGACCCTGTGGACTGTAGCCTGCCAGGCTCCTCTGTCGGTGGAATTCTCCAGGCAAGAATACTAGACTGGGCTGCCATGCCCTCTTCCAGGGCATCTTCCTCACCCAGGGATCAAACCTGTGTCTCTCTCTCCTCCTGCATTGGCAAGCAGGTTCTTTACCACTAGCGCCACCTGGGAAGCCCCATTTCTTCCAGTGAGAGCTCTGTTTCCCATATAAGCCCACACCCAAAGATCAAGTGTAAATTTTCATGGAGCCAGAAATTCCCATCTAGCATCTTCTGAGACCGACAGATGGGTATCACACATTTCGGTGGGCATCAGAATGTGAACCATTATTCAATGTTCATCTGTGGATGCCAGGTCCTGGTAGGACCTTCTTCCTGAAGTTGGCTTTTGTTTTTCTTAACTTATTAAAACAGCTTCTTTCCATCAAGGAGTATGTGTGATTTTCTGTGTGATTACCAGAGGTTTATCAGCCAGAATATAAATCCTATTGATTGCAGGACTTAAGGAAGCAAAGTGTAATTAGTGCTGGGTGATTCACACTTTGGACCTTGGAACCTGTCCACAAAGATTCCATTGTCTAGCTATCACTCAGGATAAAATCTTAAGTAGAACAATTTCTGGATTATAACCAGTAATTTCCTGACTTGGAACTAATAAAGCTGTTTTGAAGATTACATCTTGACTTTTGAACTTGACCCTTGCATTCCTTAAAGCCACTAGCATTCCTATGGTCTGTGGCAATGATATATAGTTTATTTGGGGAAGTGAATTTGCCACCTGAGTGGCTTTAGGACTGTAGCATGGGTCTGTCTGGAATAGAAAATGGCAACCTACTCCAGTATTCTTGCCTGGAAAATTTCATGGATAGAGGAGCCTGGTGGGCTACAGTCCACAGGGGTGCAACGAATCGGATACAACTGAATGCTCATGCAAGCTTGGGGACTGAGCATGTATCAGATTTTGCTCCCTGAACACATCTAAGTCATATGCTGGGGCTCCCAGTCCTAAATCCTTGAGAGTTAAGACAATACTGGGAACGATGGTGTGGGGCTTGGGCTGGGGGAAATGGAGCAGACCCAGGGGACAGAGCACTCCTAAGTCCTTGCTGGGTCTTCTGAGAACTTTCAGGGCCTTGAGGTGACATGACATGTCAAGCTGAATGGGGCACAGGGGAGCTGTCTTACTTGCAGATGACTATTTCTGATGACCTCTCAATGTTTTTCAGTGTTCAGTCATCCTCTTGGACCTGACAAGTGTGTGACTAGGGTAGGCCAAGCCAGACCTCACCCACGTGAGTGCTGATGTTGTCAAGTTCCTGTAATCATTCATTTGGAAGGAACAGAAAGGGTGTCAGGCTTCTGAATGGGGGTTTTGACTTGTACAGTATTGAGTTCAACTTTCCAAGCAGCAGACCAAAAGCCTCTTGTCCACAAAGAGGCGAGCATAAAAATAGTTCGGCTGTTTCCAATTGGGACCAAATGGAAAACATCTGGACTCCTCACCCAGGAGGCTGATGTAAATCAGCTCAATCTGACTCTTATTTTGAAACATGTAGAACTCTTCTACCAAAGACCAAACTCATCCTCAGACAAATAAACACCTTATGACTGTGAAAATAATTATCCAGTATAGGAAACTGTTTTTTAATTTGCTTTGTGAAGTCTGGATAGCATGAAAACGCTCTACTTTGACAAGAGGCTAGAAAGTAAATAAATACTAGATACAAAGTGGTTTCTATTGATCCCAGGCACAGAATTCCTTGGGAGACAAAAGACTTTAATGGCTCCCATTGTCTATTGGATTAAGTCCAAACTCTTGGTCTGGCATGCAATCCTCCTTAATGTGACCCACCCCTCTTGTCATGTCTACCCTCCCACGTACTCTTGTTCCAGCTAAGATTATAGGCTTGTGGCTTGCATTGCTTTTTTTTTTAATTTTTAAAATTTATTTATTTATGTCTGTGCTGAGTCTTCATCACCGCTGTATGGGCTTTTCTCTAGTTGTGGTGAGCGGGGGCTCCTCCCTAGTTTCCGTGCGGGCTTCTCGTTGCCATGGCTCCTCTTGTTGCAGAGCACGGGCCATAGAACGCGAGGGCTTCAGCTGTGGTTCCCAGGCTCTAAAGCACTGGTTCAGTAGCTGTGATGCACAGGTTTAGTTCATTCTCTGAGTATGGAATCTTCCCGGATTGGGGATTGAACCCATGTCTCCTGCATTGGCAGGTGGATTCTTTACCCCTGTGAGCTGCCAGGGAAGTCCTGCATTGTTTTTTAATTTAAAAAAATTTTAAAATAGTGCTAGTAGATTTTAGAAAATCTACTAAAGAGGGAAAGAGGAAGAAGGGCGAGGAGGAGGAGGAGCACCATAGTAGGTTATCATTTGTTTTATCAGACAGTTGCCATTTGGGAATACTTTCAACCAAGATGCCCTCAGAGGAGTTGGCTGGGGTTCCTCTGGGGATGAGGAGGATCAATGTGTCCAAGCCAGGTCGCCGTACAGAGGACAGTCCTTACACTGGGCTGGATGGCATCTGAGGGGATAGGACTGTTGAGTCACTATTCAGCAGAAAGACTATATTCACATCAGACAACAGAGCTAGGGCCTGATAATTGTTCTCACTTTACCTTTTCATCTGGCTTTTTTAGATCACTAAATTATATTTTTTTCAAATTCAGTGAGATTTCACAGAAAAGAAACAAGGATAATTCAAGAACAGAAAAAAAGACCACACAAGAACAGATTAAAACTGGGGAAAAGAAAGCCAAAGGGTGAAAAGCTTCATCATAAGGGCCTACTACCACAAACTACAAAACAACAACGAAGTGGACTAACACAGAATAACAGAAATTTAGGTTAGCCTCCATGAGGAATTTCCCCAAGACTGCTCATGACACACCCAGTGATCAATCATCTTGTGCTGTCTCTTCGTAACTTCAAAATGTTAAAGCTAGAGTGGAATTTAGGAAGCTATGAGCACAAGTCCTTGACTTGCAAAGCAGGAGGCTGAGACCATCAGGGCGAGTGCTGGGAACGGAATCCTGGTTCCCTACCATTTAGTGCAAACCTTTAATACTTGGACAGCTTCTCTCTTAGTTTAATCCTGCTCAGAGGTTATGGAGCTGGTGACTTCTTGAAATTCCCTCTAAATTACCCTGTTTCTACCTTTTTTTAACGAGCATAATTGCTTTACAATGTTGTGGTGGTCTCTGATGTGCATCAATGCGAATTAGTCATGATTTTACATATGTTCCCTCTCTCTTGAGTCTCCCTCCTCCCCTCATCCCATACTTCTAGGTTGTCACAGAGTGCCAGGCTGGGATCCCTGTGTTATATAGCAGCTTCCTGCTAGTTATCTATTCTTCACATGATAGTGTATATATGTCAATGCTCAATTTGTCCTATCCTCTCCTTCCCCTGCTATGTCCAGCAGACTGTTTTTCTAGATTCCATATATATATGTGTGCATGTGTGTTAATATACAATATTTGTTTTTCTCTTTCTGACTTACTTCACTGGATAAGGCTCTAGGTTCATCCACCTCACTACAACTGACTCAAATTTTTTCCTTTTTATGGCTGAGTAATATTCCATTGTATACATGTACGACAGCCTCTTTATCCATTCATCTGTTGATGAACATCTAGGTTGCTTCCATGTCCTGGTTATTGCAAATAGTGCTGCAATAAACACTTGGGTGCATGTGTCTTTTTGGATTGTGGTTCTCTCAAGGTATATGCTCCATTTCTACCTCTAAGGAATGAGCATAGGAAAAGAGTTTCCAAGTTGAATTTATCAGGTCCTGCCTGCTGTTTATTGCAGATTATTCCCATAATTGTTTTTTTTTTTTTTTTTTTGACTTGTTGAATGTGGCAGAGTCATATTCCTCTGGTGGTTATAGTTCCAGTGAGTATGGCTAAGCTGTTCAGTACTAGGTTTATATGAAGCCATCAGACACTGAGTCTTTTTCTCCACTTGAGTTTTTCTATTTGGGGTAATTACTTTAGTAATTACACACAGCCTATGAAAGGAGGAAGTGATTTACAAGATGAAGGAAGAGGAATAGTTTAAACAACCACAAAAATACCTTTTTTTCTCTTCTTCCCTGAGGTAGTTTTCACTGTTACAGCCCTGGATGACTCTGTAATCTGGTTCAAAGTTGAACTTCCTCTCTGTATGGCTGTATGAAAAAAATTAAAAGATTAAAAAAATAATAATTCAAAGTTGCATGCATGGATTTTTGACACTCTTTAATATCATTTATTGCCTTCATTTTATGTATACTTTGGGCAGAGGTATTTCTCATAAAAGAGAATTATCTGTCCCACTGACTTCACTTCTGTCCTGTCTTTTTCATGTTTCTCCCCTCAAAGGCTTGAAGAAAGTATGCAACCAGGCAGCACCTGAAGAACCAACCTGAGGGCCGTGTGTAAATCCTTCTTTCAGTTCCACAGTTGCCCTCTATACCAGTAGCTCCAGTCTTGGGAATTAGTAAGAACATATCAGATTAGAACACATTTCTGGCATATTTAAGTACATATATTGGAGACAACCCTAGTGGCCCAGTGGTTAAGAATCCATCTTCCAAGGTCAGGGACACAGGTTCGATTCCTGGTCCAGAAAGATTTCACATGCTGTGGAGAACCTAAGTACATGTGCTACAACTACTGAGCCTGAGCACCCTAAAGCTCCACAACTTCTCAAGAGAAGCCACCACAGTGAGATGCCCTCACACTGACACTAGAGAGGAACCACCGCCTGCTGCAACTAGAGAACGCCTACATGCAGCAGCAGAGACCCGGCACAGTCAAAAATAAAATAAACAAATAGATAAAATTACAAAATAAATAAGTACACATTCTGATATATTATCACACTAGGGTCATTCTGGACCCTTCTTTCCCTCTCTCTCACACCCCACGTCCCATCCACCAGGAAGCAGTGTAGATGTAGAACCTCCTCTGCTGCTGTCCTTGTCTTACCTGGGTGGAACCCTCTCACCTCTCTCCACCACCGCTCATCTGAATGACAACAGCCTCCCAGAAGGTCTCTGTGCCCTCCACCCACACCAAGTCTGTTTGCCACACAGATTGAGTGATCCTTCTCAAACCTAAGTCCTGACTCAGTCCTGATTCCTCTGTGCTTTCCTAGCTAACAAGGCAGGCACGTGACTCCTGGCCCCTGGGACTGCCCAGGCACCTGCTGCTCCTCGTGTGCAGGCCTTGGGGTGTTCCTGGAACACTCCTCATTTATCTGCAGGCTAGCTCCCTCCTCTCCTGTGTCTGTTCATAAATGCCACCTCTTCAAGGAAGCCTATACACAACCATCTATTTAAAGTCACTCTAGGGACTTCCCTGGTGGTCCAGGGGTTAAGAATCTGCCTTGCAATGAGGGTGATGCAGGTTCGATTCCTGGTTGGGAAACTAAGATCCCACATGCCAGGGGTTAACTAAGTTCCTGCATTACAATTACTGAGCCCACGCACTCTGAAGCTCATGTGACACAATGAAAGATCATGCAACAAAGATCCTGAGTTCTGCAACTAAGACCCAACACAGCCAAATAAATAAATGCTAAGATAAAAATAAAATCACTAAATTCGCATGCCTTTTGTCCCTATAATTCCACTTCTAAGAATTTTCCATATTGCTATATTTGCACCTGAAAGTGTGTGTGTGTGTGTATGTGTGTGTGTTAGCAAACTATAAAGCTATTTGCATATGAGGATAAAATAAAATAAAATCACACCCCAACAATTTTTCTCTTCCCCAGGTTCCCAAACTTACTTATCTTGATTGTTTTTTTCTTTTTTCCATAGAAGTTATCATCTTATAGTAAACTATAGCTGGTATATATTTATTATGCTTTTTAAAAGCTGTCTGACTCCCCGTACCCCTCATACACACACACAAGCACACTGTGTTCCCAGCCCTCTCCTCAGAGGCAGGGATCTTTGTTTTATGCTCTAATGTGTGTAAGGAAAGACACAGGTGAACACACACACACATACATATGATGAAGGGAGGAAGGAGCGTTATTCCTAAAATTGCATTTTATACATTATATATTATACATTATACATTTTACACATTATAACAAGTAATGAAGAAAGCAAACTTGTCATTTGGATAGTGAGGCATTCATGCCTCCTTAGTGGTTGGCAGCAGAAAGCTTCTGTGCCCATCTCTGGCAAGAAGTCACTAGGAGCCTGGGAGTAGCTCACAGAACAGGAAAGGAAATCAAATATTTGGGCCTTATGAAACACTGGCCTCAAGACATTTTTGCCTTCAATAACATCCTAGAGGGAAATGGAAAAGTTATAAACAATCTTGTAACTTTTTGGTTTGGTATCTACACTTGTTCATCATAAGTTTTAAAATTTCAAATAATGAAATTTCTAACATATAGAAAATATTGACATTTAAAAATAAAATCTAGGGTGAGGAGAGGGATAAATTAGGAGTTTGGGATTAACATATACACACTATTATATATAAAATAGATAATCAACAAAGACCTCCTGTATAGTACAGGAAACTATAGTCAATATTTTGTAATGACCTATAAGGGAAAAAAATCTGGAAAAAGTTATATATGTATATGTAACTGAATCACTTTACATGATTCCCTTTTTTCCTGTGTTTTTACTGGTATTTTAATTTTAATAACTATAGAATTTTATATTTGAAAGTCATTTATGGGTCACCCTATAATACTTCTCTGTAAAAAAAAATGCTTCATTTACAAACATTTAAATTTTAAAAATTTGCTGTGATCATAAGCCTCTAAAGTATTAAAAAGTCTTCTGTAGTTATTATTCAATGTTTGCTGCAGCTGCTGCTGCTAAGTTGCTTCAGTTGTGTCCAACTCTGTGCGACCCCATAGACAGCAGCCCACCAGGCTTCCCCATCCCTGGGATTCTATGTTTAGATGTATGCAATTGATGAACATGATATATTTTATATATTTTGATAAATCCTAATTAAATACAAAAAAAACTTTATTGACCACCTCTCCCAAAGAGATGGATGGTGCTGTTTTATTTATTTTTATAATTAATTCATGTATTTTTTAAAGAATATCACTGCTGAAATGAAGCCGACTTCAGCATCAGTGCTTTTTCTCTTTTCTATTGCTATAGTTGTAACTGCTGAGAAATCTTATTCATATGGATGGGAATGGAATAATAGGATTGCCAGGCTTACTCTCTCTTGTCTTCCAAATACAGGACACCCAATTAAAGGTCAATTTAAATGTCAGATAAACAAAGAATAATTATTTTAAGTGTATCCTAAACATTGCATGGAACATACTTCTAATTAATTATTTCCATCTAAAATTCAAATAAATCCTAAGAGTTTTATCACAGCAGTATTATTCAATTCTTTGAACTCCTGTGTGTGTGTCAATTGCTCAGTCATTTCTGACTGCAATCCCATGGGCTATAGTTCATCAGGCTTCTCTCTCCACAAGGTTTTTCAGGCAAGAACACTGGAGTGGGTTGCCATTTCCTCCTCCAGGTGATCTTCTTGACCAAGGGATGGAATCCATGTCTCCTGTGTCTCCTGCATTGCAGGGGGATTCTTAACCTGCTGAGCCATCGGGGAAGCCCTTGAAATCCTGAGTTATGGGCTAAAAACCATATAGTGATTGACCAAAAAAATTTTTTAATGATCTGTCTGTTTATAACTTAAGTCCTCCTTCAATTTTGTTAAAAGCAAAAATTGGGAGCCATGTGACCTGTAAAACATGATTTATTGCTGACTCATTAGAGTCATGCATTTTTTTTTAAAACACTTGCACTTATATTTTAAACTATCCCTTTGTTTCTGAACCCTAGGGGAGATACTCTGCTCAGACACTGGATGGTGGACAGGCGTGCCTTTCTTTCACAAAGTAGAATGATGGTTGTGACCAATGATACCAACCACAGGTACTGGGTCATTATGAAAGGTGAGAATCTGGACATTTTAAGAAACCATCCACATTCCCACAAACGTTGCTACTGGGAAGTTTGTGTGTACTCTTTGTCTTAATGTGTTTGGGCTGCTATAACAAAACATCATAGACTGGGTGGCTTATAAACAATAATTATTTTTCACAGTTCGGAAGAGGCTGGGAAGTCCAAGATCCAGGTACCAGCAGATTCAGTGTCTGGTGAGAGCCTGCATCCTGGTTCACAGATGGCTGTCTTCTTGCTATAATCCCACAAGGTGAAAGGAGTAAGGGAACTCTGGGGTCTCTCTCTCTCTTTTTTTTATTTTGGCTGTGCTGGGTCTTCACTGAGTTTGCCTTATGGCTCAGCTGGTAAAGAATCCGCCTGCAATGTGGAAGACCTGCATTTGATCCCTGGGTTGGGAAGATCCCCTGGAAAAGGGAAAGGCTACCCATTCCAGTATTCTGGCTTGGAGAATTCCATGGACTGTATAGTCCATGGGGTCTGTGCACGGGTTTTCTCTAGTTGCAGAGAGCGGGGGCTACTCTCTAGTTGCAATGCTTTGGTTTCTCATCGCGGTGGCTTCTCTTGTTGTGGAGCATAGACTCTAGAGCACACGGGCTTCATTAGTTGCAGCTCGTGGGCTCAGTTGCCCTGCAGCATGTGGAATCTTTCCATGTCTCCTGCATTGGCAGGTGGATTCTTAACCACTGGGCCACCAGGGAAGCCCATGATTAGTGTTCTTGTCAGAAACCAGAGAGCTTGCTCTGTCTGCCTGCACACACCTAGGAAAGGCCCTGTGAGGACATAGCAAGAGGGTGGCCATCAGCTGGCCATGAAGACAGCTCTTACCAGGAACCAAAGCAGTTGTAACAGATGACTACAAACTTAGTGGCTTAAAATAGTACATGTGTATCATCTTACAGTTCTGGGGATCAGAGTCCAAAATGGCTCCTATAGGCAAAAGTCAAGGTGTCAGTGGACCTGCATTCCTTTTGGAGGCTCTGAAAAGAACTCATTTCCGGGAGGTGGGAGGGGGGATGGGGATGGGGAATACATGTATCTCCATGGCTGATTCATGTCAATGTATGACAAAAACCACTACAATATTGAGAAGTAATTAGCCTCCAACTAATAAAAAAAAAAAGAACTCGTTTCCTTGTCCCTTCTAGCTGCTACAGGCCACCATGGCTTATGAACCCTTCCTCACGTCACTCCAACCTCTCCTTCCACTGTCACACTTCCTTCTCAGACTCTAACTGCCTGCCTCCCTCTTACAACGATCTTTTTGCCATGTGAGCTAACATAGTTGCAGGTTCTGAAGATTAGGACAAAGACATCTTTGGGGACCTGTTATTCTGTCCCCACACATTCTCAGGAAGAAGAATCTCCATGGATCACTGGGAAGGTCACCTTTAATTGCAAAACGAAGTTTCTTTCTTTTAGGTGGCCCCAAATGAGCCTAGGACCAAGTTTCCCACAGCTTACCTTGGAGCAGCTGAGGGGGGTTCCTGGCGTCTGGTGAAGAAGTGACCAGTTGGTCTTTCCCCTGCATCTCTGCATACTCTGCCAGGGGTCTGAGGAGACCCAGAGCTCCAGAACATTGCAAGTAATTGCCACTGAGGTGCAGCTCACTGGGGAAGGGACAAAATACACTGTTCATTTGATATTTTTTCCACTCTGTCAAATTTAAATTTGAGGTCTTCACCTCATAAAATAATAGACCTAGTTACAAAATAATACATAAATAATCATAATAAATAATAATAGACCATGTCATAAAAATAGACCTAGTAACCACACCAGCCAGCCAAAACATGCATTTAGTACAACACCCTTGATTCTCAAACATAACTAAAGGATCTATTATAATTAAGAAAAGAAAAACAAAGTAACTAGAGGAGGAAAAGATGATATGAAAAACATAATAAAAAAAATCTAAGGAACTCATGGGTTAGCAGGCTCTGTAAGTAAGTGTTTATATAACTCAAGATGCAACAGTGCCAAGATGTGACTGGCGGGGGGCGGGGGGGGCGCGCGGGTGGGCAGGGGACCCTCTCACCGAATGGCACTGTGGCATACGATGGAGCCCAGCCTCGGTCCATTCTGTGGCCCCAGACCACAGTAGCGCAGACTGAGTCTTTGAAGCCTTTGGTTGTTCTCCAGGCCTGAGAAAATACTCTCAATTTCTTCATGTGTAAATCTAAAAAGAAATGATAGGGACTTGAAAATTTATGTTACCCATTGGATTACTAATATTAAGTACTCCCAAGGCAGTGAGCGGCACTTTTGCTGGTCCTCAGTTTAGGCTTCCAGGGCTAGGGCTGGCTGTGGGGGTGGGCTGGGATGATTGAGGGGGCAGCCTGCATGTGGAGGAAAGGAAACCCAGAGTCTGCCTCCTGGGCAAAGAGAGCAGGGGACCATTTGAAGTTCCCATTCAAGGGAGCAGATGGAGAGCAAGTTGTGAATCCTGATGATGAGAGAGCTGGCCCAGTTGGCAGTCTAAGAAGACCCAGTGGTACCAGGACTCTGTAAGGAGAATCCTCTTAAGCCATGTCCACAGCAGGTTCAGGAAAGTTAAACCTCTCAGCCCTCCTTGGCCCTGAGGTCCTCTTGCCTTAATCTGCACAATCCCTAGAGTTTCAACGTGAAATCACAGCCATCATGTCATTCATGCCAGCAACAGCCTCTGTGGGTAGGTAGGGATTAGGTCAAGAAACTGAGGCCCAGCAACATGTTTGGGGAATTTGCAAAGTCAAAGCTTGAACTTTAAAAAAAGGTGAGAACTTCCCTGGTGGCACAGGGCTTCCCAGGTGGCTCAGATGGTTAAGAATCTGCCTGCAACATGGGAGACCTGGGTTGGATCTCTGGGCTGGGAAGATCCCCTGGAGGAGAGCCTGGCAACCCACTCCAGTATTCTTGCCTGGAGAATCCCATGGATAGAGGAGCCTGGCGGGCTACAGTCCATGAGGTCACAAAGAGTCTGACACGAGTGAACAACTAAACTCATACATACTCCCTGGTGGCACAGTGGATAGGAATCCACCTGCCAGACACGGGTTCGATCTCTGGTCCAGAAAGATCCCACATACCACAGAACAGCTAAGCCTGTGTACCACAGGAAGTGAAGCCCACACGCCCAGAGCCCAGGCTCTGCAACAAGAGAAGCCACCGTGATGAGAAGCCCGTGCCCATCAAGGAAGAGTAGCCCTTGCTCGCCACAACCAGAGAGGGCCCTCACAAAAGAAACAAAGACCCAGCGCAACCAAAAATAAAAATAAATAAAAATTTTAAAAAATAAAATGAAGCGAGCAGTATTGACAGAAATAACTTTAAAATTTATAAATTTGTTCAACAAGTAGTTATTGAGGACCACAGTGGCTGACGGGACATAGCCGTGTATGAGAAAGAGCGGCGTCCTGCCTGCTGGACTTCAGAGTCGATCAGGGAAAACGCCGAGGACAGAGCTCCAGTCCCCAGAGGGCAGGTCCCTGCAATCTGTCCATGTTGAGGTCTCAGTGCAGACGCCCAGCTACCAGCCCTGACAGCTCTAGATGTCTTAGCAGCAACAGTATTTCCACCGACCATTAAAACAGGCTGTTTCTTAAAGGTGGGAATTCTTTCTTTCTTCCCTGCAGTGCAGTTCTCTGGGTTCAGCACAGCAACTGGAGTCTAGAGGGCCTCCTAGCAGTGGAGTTGGTTCTACTTGGTCCATTTTGGGAACTCTGTGGCTGCTCCTGTATCAGTGCATGGTGTCCCAAGGACCCTGTCCTTCTGCTGCCCTGAATTAGGAGACCCTAAAGCTCCTGGTGGCTCAGTGGTAAAGAATCTGCCTACAATGCAGAGACATAAGAGATGCAGGTTCGATCCCTGGGTCAGGAAGGTCCCCTGGAGGAGAGCATGGTAGCCCACTCCAGTATTCTTGCCTGGAGAATCCCACGGACAGAGAAGCCTTGCCAGGCTACAGTCTGTAGGTTTGCACAGAGTCAGACGTGACTGAAGTGACAGCACAAGGCTCCTCCCAGCATTTCAGAAACGCAGAGAATCTCCACAGAATACTGACTTTCCCCAGCTTTTGCTGATGGACTTGTTCTCTGTCACCACCAGGGCCCCAATAAGATCCCAGTCCTTTAATGGGGTCTTTGTATCACTGAGGTACCACTTCTCAGGCATGACTTCGCAGCCCACTGGCCTTTTGAGTACAAGGCACCACCTGGCTCCATGGCATGAGTCACAGAATCATACACTTGGGAAGTGGAAGAGATCCGCTCATAGATCAGAGAGGTGGCATGACTGACCAGAGATCACATAAGCAGTTTGAAATTTTTATGGATTGTAAATTAAGACTCCAGCAATCTAGTATCATCAATCAAAGGTGGACTCTGAATCAGACACCTGAGTTCACATCTAGCCTCCCCAAGAACCGAATGGCCTTGAACAAGCCAATTAATCCCCCTGAGTTTTTCCTTACCTATAGTCAAGGATTAGAAACGGTACGTATCTATCATTATACATCCTACATCTCTGTGTAATGGTATATATTGATACATATCTACTGTTGGGAGAAAAAAATGAGAAAATCCATGTACTGTGCTTGGCATGTAGTAATAACCATTAGCAGGTATTGTCGTTATGAGTATTATTGAACTTGACCTCCCCTGACCACTCGGAGCCCAGCCCTCTGAAGGACTTGCTCTGCTCTTGTCTGGCACCATACCTTTCCTCCCACCTTCTCTCCTAGTGAACACTGACCATCTCTGTGGAATTGCAGTTTCCCTTATCCAAACTACTGCTAAAATGTATTTCAACAACTTTTGTGATACTCAGACTTTCCGCCTTGTGCTTTACATAATCAAGAGCAAGTCTCCTCCCTCTATACACTAAGGACTCCCTTGGACAGTGGCAGTGCCTTAAGTACACTGTATCTTCCTTAGCAACAAGCACTATGCCTTGTACAAACTAGCCTTCGACAAACATTTGTTGAAAGAATAAACGAATGACTAGAGACTCTTTTTGGGAACCTAGAGACTCTTTTTGAGAACCCTAACATTTACTAGGAACATGAACTCTAAGGAAGTTTTAGGGTGTCCTTTGTAGCAATGACTTGATAGCAACTTCCTTGACACAAGGAACTAGGACATTTCCCTCCCCTGCCTTAGCCTCCCCCAGCTGCCAGCAGGGGCGGGGGTAGGCGTGGGGAACCTTGAAGGAACTCTGCATTCCAGCCTTACTTGCAGTAGTCGAGGACAAGAACATGAAGACTGCTGAGATGCAAAGCCTGCCCAAGTCTCCCCAGAGACCATGGATCCATCTTGCAGTCAATGAGTTCCAGGGTAGTAAACGGGCAGGGGGTGTGCCCCTTCGATTCTAGAAGCAAAGCCTGAGAATGCAAGGTTAAAAGTGCAGACACAATGAAAACAAACATGATCTGTGTTTGTTTTTTTATATTCGAGTTTATTCTTCATTTAACTTTTAAATACTACTATGGTTGAATATGATCTGTGTTTTTATAAATTACTTCAAAGTCACTTATGTTAATTATTCAACATTTTGGCCTCAAAGATAACTTTCTAGTTACCCAAAGAGAAAGTGGCATGAAAACAAAATAATTTCCCTTTAAAATGAAGACTCACTAGGAATTCCCTGGCTGTCCAGTGGTTAGGACTCCGTGCGTTCACTGCCAAGGGCCAGGTTTCGATCCCTGATTGGGGGACTAAGATCCCACAAGCTGCTTGGCATGGCAAAATAAGTAAATAAATAAAATTTTAAAATAAAAGATAAAATGAAGACTCATTGAAGAAATGTACAGGAAACATCAAGCTTTATGATGAAAGAAAATATATGGTAGCACAATATAAGCACAAGTCTAAGGCAAGGTCATTTCTTGCTGTAATGAAGGATCCCAATGATAGTGAAATTCCAACCTGATAGAAAAGAGTATTTAAAGCTAAAAAACATGAAAGCTGCCTTTTTAGCAATTAGAATTACCACGACCTGAGGATTCCCTCAGTTCAAAATTTAAGCCTGAAAGCGACTTTGGTAGGGTTTGGAGGATGTAGGGTTTCATGAGGTAATGACATGTGGGTCAGAGACAGGATTCCAAATTACAGCTTGGCTGAGAATAAAAAAGCCCTTGCAATCTTAACTACAATCTTAACTGGTGCCTGAGGCTTCTTTAATGAGAGAAAGTCTAGTTTGAGTGCTGGATCAGATTTCTCAAACTGTATTTCTGACAGAGGAGGCCATGTGGCACATCCCTGCTGATGTTAACATTGGTCTGTGAAAATAAACTCTGGACCAAGTCCTAAAGATCTCAACCAGTGGTTTGCAGGGTCACCCGCCCTGCTGTGGGCAAGACCATGGCTGTCTGATAGAATTTCTCAGCAGCCTTCAGATTACCGAGAAAGTGAAAAAGTAAAAGTGTTAGCTGCTCAGCTGTGTTTGACTCTTTGCGACCCCATGGACTATAGCCCACCAGGCTCCTCTGTCCATGGGGTTCTCCAGGCAAGAATACTAGAATGGGTAGCCATTCTCTTCTCCAGGGGATCTTCCCCACTCAGGGATCAAACTCAGGAATCTCCAGCATTGTAGGCAGATCCTTTCCTGCCTGAGCTACTAGGGAAGCCTGTAGATTACCAAGAGGGCTACATTTTAAGGAACTGCTAAGAGTCACTTTTAACATGCATGAATAGCATTCTCTTTCCAATTTGAATGGACTGAGCACCTGACTGAGACTCTGAATAAAAAAACTAAAAATTCTGTTTATATATTTAAAATATCTTTTAAAAAGTTCATTTTAAAATTATAGTCAAAAGCATATAAAATTTACCATTTTAATAACTTTTAAGTGTACAACTCCTTGGCTTTAAGTGTATTCACACTGTTGTGCAAGCCCCATCATCATTCATCTCCAGAATGTTGCCCATCTGTCAAAACTGAAACTCTGTACCCATTCAACAGAAGTTCCCACTGTCCCCAGCCCCTAGCCCCTGGCAACTGCCAATTCTACTGTCTGCTCTATGAATCTGACTACTCTAGGTACCTAATATAAGTGACATGATACACTATCCTTTTGTATCTGACTTATTTCACTCACTTCAAGGTTCATCCATGTTGTAGCATGTGTCAGAATTTCCTTCCTGTTTAAGGCTGAATAATATTCCACTGTATGTATATACCATATTTTGTTTACCCATTGGTCTGTCAGTAGATATTTGGTTTGCTTCCATCTTTGGCTACTGTGAATAATGCTGCTATGAACATGAATGTATAAGTATCTCTTTGAGACCCTTCTTTCAATTCTCTTGGGTACATATTCAGAAGTGGAATTGCTGGATGATATAGTAGTTCTATTTTTAATTTTTGGAGGAGCTGCCATACTATTTTCCATAGTGGCACCATTTTACATTTCCACAATAGTGCACAAGGGTTCCAATTTCTATATATCCTCATCAACATTTTATTTTCTGCTTTTTTGAATAGTAACCATCCTAGTTGACATGGGGTGGTATCTCATGGTGGTTTTGATTTGCATTTCTCTAATGATTGATGGTGTTGAAAATCTTTTCAAGTGCTTCTTGGTCTTTTGTATATCCTCTTTGGAGAATGTCTATTCAAGTCCTTTGACCATTTTAAAATCAGGTTGCTTATTTTTTGTTGTTGAATTATATGAGTTCTTTATATATTCTGCATATTAACCCCTTATCAGATATATGCTTTGCAATTATTTTCTCCCTTTTCACTCGGTTGATTGTGTCCTTAGAAGCACAGAAGTTTTTTCATTTTTATGAGGTCCAATTCACCTAATGAGTGTGTGTGTGTGTGTTGCTGGTGCTTTTAGTGTATATCTGAGAAATCATTACCAAATCTAACATTATGAAGCTTTTCCTCTATGCATTTTTCTAAGAGTTTTAAACATATCTTTTAAAATGTGTTGATTGACAGGTAGATTAGGGAGGAATACCCAAAGGTCAATGAATGAGCAGAAAATGACTCAGAGAGGTATGCAGGATACTGAAGCCAGCTTTCCCTTTGACAGCATCATTAAAGCAGTAGATTTGAGCTTTGATTTTAATGGATCATACAGTCCAAGGGACAAGGTGAGCAGTCCAACAGGAAATCCTGAATAGAGGTGTGGCTCAAAACATACAGTGGATTATAGTGCTATGTCCTTAGAGTAAATAGAACTAGAAATAAACCCAACTCTTCCCTTCCCAAAGGATCCCAGGGAAAATGGCCCATCTCAAACTGAGTATATGGAAAAAAATACATCCCCTGAGAACTCACAAAACTAGCCTTAGCACAGATTTGCAACTTGAATTAACATCACCAGAATGGTTCAAAGAAACCTTGAAAGTGAAAGTGTTAGTCACTCAGTAATGTCTGACTCTTTCCATCCCATGGACTGTAACCTCCCAGGCTTCTCTGTCCATGGAATTCTCCAGGTAAGAATACTGGAGTGGGTCATCATTCTTTTCTCCAGGGGATCTTCCCAACCCAGAAACTGAACCCAGGTCTCCTGCATCACAGGCAGATTCTTTACCATCTGAGCCACCAGGGAAGCCCCAAAGAAACCTTAGATCAAGAACTTAATTTCTGGACTTCCCTGGCAGTACAGTGGTTAAGACTGCATTTCCACTGCAGGGGACACAAGTTCGATCCTTGGTTGGGAAACTAAGATCCCAAATGCCATGTGATACAGCCAAAAAAAAAAAAAAAAAAACCCAAAGGGAAAAAAAAAAAAGAATTTAACAGCTCTGAGTGTGTGGCAGAAAAAACTGTAAATCTTCTCTGGAGAGGGCTATCTGCAAATCAGAGCTCAAGGAATTACCATAACTATTTTTGTCCCCACAAAATATGAATTTACAGTTAAAAAAAAAAAGAAAGAAATCACATAAACATACAAAGAAAGGTCCTCATAAGTAAGAACCAGTAGAAGCAAGAGTCAGAAATGTCAGACTCCAAAATAATTCAGATTGTTGAAATTATTAGACACGGATTATAAGTTTAAACATTCAGAGAAATAAGGGACTTTCAAAAAGCCTAGAAACTGGAAATATTAGTGCTTTTTGTGTCCTGTTTGAGTTTTTCTCCACCCCAGAATCATGATTCTGGAGTTGTTCTACACTATCTTCTAGAAACCTTATTGTTTTGCCTTAAATAATATATAATCCATCTGGAATTGATTCTGGGGTATGATGTGAAGTAGAAGTCAAGGTTCTTTATCTCCCATATTGTATAATTTAACTTATCTTTTTGTCCTCAGTGAAAGGATTTACCTGAATTATCTAATTAGCCCTTGCCAGAAGTAAAGTCCTATATATAACTTATGACTCACTATAAAGGAAGCTCAATATAAAAATAATATTTAATCTTAAGTGTGTATTTAGCAAAACCATCATTCAAGAATGAAGGCTATGTGTTATACAATAGCAGTCAAAATTAATAAACATGGAGATATCTTGACAACATAATGTGAGTAAAAGAGGAAGTCATAAAATCACACACAAAGTACAATTCACGTAGGTAAGTAAAAACATACATGCATATGTAATAAAAGCATAAAAACATGCATGGGGTTGATACATGTCAACTCTAGGCTAGTGGTACCTCCGGGAAGTAGATGGGCGAGAAGAAGAAAGATGGCACTTTAGCTCTTGTATTTGTAAATATCTTCAATATCCATTCCTTAAAAAGTATATTACGCGACGGTGAGTACATAGATGTCAGTTCTATTATGTTTTACACTTTTATATGATGAAATATTTCACTAAAAATACTTAAAAAAAGAGTACTTTGGAGCATATCAGTCAACAACCAAATAAACTATAGCTGGAACACATGATATAATATGCTTACATTCAAGTTTAAGGTTAAATGGAAAGCTATTGTTAAAATACATGACTCACAAGTCTGGCGATCTCTGGGTTGCTCAGCTGAAAGCCCCAGATGCAGATCTCTCTCCCCAGCATGTAACACTCATCCCGAACAGTCACGAGCAAAGGTTCCAAGGAAATAGGTAGGATGCCTGGCGGGGAGTCATCAGGTCTTACCAGTACAAACTAGAATGTTAAAAAAAACTACAGGTGGGCATCATAACTGGAGGTTCATGTATCCAAATATGTAGAGAAAGAATATCATCATTAGACAACATTAGAAGGACATTACTTATTAACTTTGGATCAAGAGTGCATTGGAGTGATAGTTCAACACAAACTTAGGTAGTTCTTGCCTAAGGTTTGTGAAAAGTCCCACAAGGCAGAGATTTTTCCAGCAGGTCACTGCCCATAACTGGGTCAGGAAATCAATTTAGTGGGTTGTTACCAGCTTTTTCTTTATTTCTTTAACAAAACAGAAAATAAGAGAAATTATCTGAGTATATACTATGCAGTAAGGAATGACTGTCTCATGACACTTCTATCTTAGTGATGTTCAAAATCAAAATGGAGACCCAACCAAAGCAACCCACCCAACATAAACAGCTTTGGGGGTCATACTGATTCCAGTACTTAAATACTGGGTCATAATGTTAATTATATTTCTGATGGTGATTGTAATTAAAAACATTTGGAAAATACTCTTGACATGGTTATAAATTTGAATAAGATTTATGATTAACCCTATGATTAAGTAGTGCAGCCTAATTATAAAACTACAACAGGAAAAAATGAATTAGGCCAATGCAGGAGACACAGGAGACTTGGGTTCGATCCCTGGGTCAGGAAGATCCCCCGGAGGAGGGCATGGTAACCCATTCCAGTATTCCTGCCTGGAGAATCCCATGGACAGAGGAGCCTGGTGGGCTACATACAGTCCACGAAATTGCAGAGTCTGACACGACTGAAGCGACTGAGCATGCGCAAGAGCGCAGGTCTGGAAGAGGAGCATAGAAGTGGAGGGTGAAAGCCCGAAGGAACAGAGTGCGGGTGGGCAGCTGCCCTGAGAATGGGAGTTAAGAAAGAGAGCGAGGTTTAGACAGGAACTGTGGGAGGGTCTCTCTGTGGAGGGTGCAATGGAATCACCCTCCCAACCCCAGAAACATTCAGGAAAAATATGGGTGGAATGGATTTGTGTCAGAGTCTTGAGTAATGATATTTAAAGTACCCATCTCTATCTAATTATTTTGTTTAATTTGTTGTCTTGCTTAGCACTCAGCATTTTATGAAATCAGTAGGTATGTGGTTATTAAAACACAGACTGTCTTTCTGGGCTGGTGATAGGGAAGTTGTGAAGCTGGACAGCCCGTCTTTGGGTGCCAGGCTCCCCCTTCTGGTCTCTCAGGCGGGGCGCTGACCCGAGCTGACCGCTTATGCTGGCCTCTCTTCCGCCCCCCTGACATTCAACCACTAGATTTAATCTCAGGAAAGATATGACATCAGGTATTTTTTTTTCCTGAAATCTAAATGATATGCTTTCTTACTCCAAGTGAGATGGGAGGGGTGTGGGTATTTGCAGGTCTGGCCTGATGGCTTGGACGCATCAGATGTCAAGACAAGGAGACATTCTTTTGGAGGGTCGGGAGTGCCGGGGAGGGAGGTTCTGCAATGATGACAAAAAGGATGCTTTTGAGTTGGACTCTCCAGACATAGAGTGGGAAGAAGGGCAGGCTGGCCATTCCAGAGGTGAAGGTGGGGTGAGAACAGGCAGAGATGCTCGAAGGATGAAGGACTGGGATGGGCAGACTGGGAGAGAGGGGTGGGAAGGTAGGAGGAGTGTTGAGCAGACCTTGGTGCCAGAGTCAGGCTCTGGACAGCATGCAGGCAGGAAGAGCAGGCAATTCTGGGCTTGAAGGGATTGAGGACCCATGTTCCTTGGTTCCTTGAGAGGAAACACTCACCTTCCTGAGAATCCGTTCATGGTTGATGCTGGCTTTCAAGTCCCTTTTGATGGCTGGACACACAGACGTCTGAGTCTGTACACAATGCTTCTCGTATGTTTTCAGGAACTTTTGAAGAATGGAAACAATGGGCAGGGGTACTCCTTTAGTTTTTCGTTTTCCTTGCTTTTGTCTTGGCATCATTTCATAGTGTCAGATTCCACTTGGATTCTGAAAACTGTAACTTGCCCTGAAAGCCAACACACAGATATCTTTTTAAGGAGGAGATCACACTTTCCCCACTAAAAATGAGCAAATATTGCTGCACACCTTCTCTGAAAATCATAAAGTACTTCACTAATCTTAAAATGAGAGTGGAGAATCAGAACAGAAAATTTCAATTTGCAAGGACTCTACTCATGGAACTGGATTCTTTCTTTTAGATTGTTTAAAATGGGGGAAGTTCATGGAATTCAGTTATAAAGGAACACAATTAACATTAATAGTGGGCTCTAAATACTTCCAAGTTCATATTGATTTAAAAGTGGCATAATTTTCTTTTAGACATAATTCCTGCAAGGCAGTAATTATAGTGGTTAAGAATGTGGGCTTTGAAAGGTAGCAGATTTGGATTTTAGTCTTGTCTCCACTACTTGATTTACTGTGTGGCCTTAGAGAAATTATAAACTCTTCAAGCCTCCATTTCCCTATCTGTAAGATGGATTATGGTTGTCATAAAGGTTAAATGAGATGAGTTTATAAAGCACTGCATAATACCTGGCATGTAGTGATAAGGAAACTTTTTTATTATTATTGATGTTATTATTATTACTGATGTATTTTTATTCTGCTGGCTGCAAGAATCAGTTCTAATTTTTGTCAGTGGGATTGCTGGATCAATCGGAAGTTTTAGTTTTTTAAGGAACCTCTATGATGTTCTCCATAGTGGCTGCACTAATTTACATTCCCACCAACAGTGCAGGAGGGTTCCCTTTTCTCCACACCTTCTCTATCACTTATTAATTTGTGGCACAAATTTTTGTTTTATATATTTTGGCACTATGGTATTAATACTAGGTATTTACAAATTTAGAACTGATAAATTTTCCTAGGAGATGTACTCTTTTGACATTATTTAGCATCCCTTTTTGTCTCTAGAAATGCTTCATGTCTCAGAGTCACAGATCCCAAAATGTACGAGATGCGTGAAGGCACTGCACACTTACAGGGCTGCTGCTAAGTCGCTTCAGTCGTGTCCAACTCTGTGCGACCCCATGGACGGCAGCCTGCCAGGCTCCTCCGTCCCTGGGATTCTCCAGGCAAGAATACTGGAGTGGGTTGCCATTTCCTTCTCCAACAGGGCACTTGGGGATATTTTAACTTTTCAAGGGAAAGCTAGCATCATCGTTAGATGCCATATGAACTACCGAGGGTTTTCAATTTAGGTCACACTTGCATTAGTATCCTATTGCTGGAAATGAGCCCATCACAAGTGAAAAACATTCTAAAAAGGGAGAGTAAACCCAGAAGAATGTAGAGACACAGGTACTGGGGTGAGGGAAAATCATATTCTTAATAGCTCTGGTTGGGACTTTATCTAATCCAAGTAAGCCATCACTGGGATTACCAACTGTCTCAGGAATTTAAGTGCTAAAACCATGAAAATACTGGGCAAACCAAAATGGCTCTTCACCCTACCACTCACCCGACCCATGGCCAGCACCCAGCTGTAGCTCCAGCATTCTGTTCATAGCTCTGCTCCAGCAGCTCCTGCAGAGCAACCAGACTTGGCAGCTAACCAAAACCTATTTTTCATCTTGGGGCTGGTCTAACTTCTTTTACATGGAACAAAAATGAGGCCTAGGAAGGGAGAGAAGGGATTTTCTCTGGCTGAAAACAGAACTGAGCGTACCGATTCCCAAGACCATTAGAAAAATTTATTGGCATATAGTTGCTTTACAGTGTTGTGTTAGTTTCTACTGTACAGCAAAGTGAATCAGTGAGTCACTTTCAATCACCTATCTATCTATATATATATCCCCTCTTTTTTGGATTTCCTTCCCGTACAGTTTACCACCAAGCACTGAGTAGAGATCCCTGTGCTATACAGTGGGTTCTCGTTAGTTTTCGCTCAGTCACGTCTGACTCTTTGTGACCCCATGGACTGTAGCCTATCAGGTTCCTCTGTCCCTGGCATCTTCCAGGCAAGAGTACTGGAGTAGGTTGCCATTTCCTTTTCCAGTTATTTTATACATAGTAGTATATATATGGGGCTTCCCTGGTGGCTCAGAGGATAAAGCATCTGCCTGCAAAGCGGGAGACCTGGGTTCGATCCCTGGGTTGGGAAGACCCCCTGGAGAAGGAAATGGCAACCCACTCCAGTATTCTTGCCTGGAGAATCCCAGGGACAGAGGAGCCTGTCAGGCTACAGTCCATGGGGTCACAAAGAGTTGGACACGACTGAGCGACTTCACTTTCTTTCTTCCCTTCTTTCTTAGTGTATATATGTCGGGCTCCCCCAGTGATTCAGCAGTAAAGTATCTGCCTGCAGTGCAAGAGCTGCAGGAGACTGGGGTTTGATCCCTGGGTTGGGAAGCTCCCCTGGAGGAGGGCATGGCTACCCATACCAGTATTCTTGCCTGGAGAATCCCATGGACAGAGGAGCCTGGCAGGGTATAGTCCATGGGGTCACAAGAGTCATACATGACTGAGTGACTTAGCATGCACGCAGTGTATTTATGTCAACCCCAATCTCCCAATTCATCCCACCTCCCTTTTCCCCCTTGGTATCTACACTATTTACAACAATTTTTTCTAATTCCCCATGCATAAATACATGGTATTTGTTTTTCTCTTTCTGACTTACTTCACTCTGGATGACAGTCTCTAGGTCCATCCATGCTAAGACCATTTTTGGAAAGCATCTCGAGTGCTGCTTATCATCAAGCAATTGGCAAACACTGCATAGCACCATGGGAGACTGTGTGGGTGGGGAGGGGGTGGCCCAGGTTTTGGGTCAAGCAGAACAGGTTTGAATCCTGTTTCTGTCCATTATTAGCAGGGTGATCATGGGTAATCAACTTCACTTCCTTGAACCTGATTTTCTTCATCTGTAAACATGGTGGGAATATTTACTCTTTTACATTTGTGAGGATTATATGAGATAACAAATGTAAAGGTTTTTTTCATCAGTAAGATGGAGATGATGGTGACAAAGAAGTGTTATAAGGAATAATGAGTTAGTATATGATAAATGCTGAGAACAGAACCTGACACATAGTAAATGCTAAGGAGGGAACCTGAAGCATACTGAGTTTATGTGATTTCCCTAAGGGCAGACACTGGTAAATTGTGTAGCTGGGATTCAAATTTAGACAATCTAGATCCACAGCCCCAGTTTGTAACCACTCTAAGGTACCATTTGTTAAAAACTGTTATGAATTGAATGTTTGCACCTCCCCTCCCCCCAAATTCAAATGCTGAATCCCCAGTGTGATGATATGGGTCCTTTGGAAGGTAATTACGGTTAGACAAGGTCATGAGGGTGGGGCCCTAATGATGGGATTAAGAAGAGACACCAGAGCTCACTTCCACCCCCAAGCTGTTGAATCACCTACACCTACAATCACCTACAAACCAGGGGGGCTGCCCTGGTGGCTCAGATGGTTAAGAATCTGCCTGCAGTGCAGAAGACCTGGGTTCAATCCCTCAGTTGGGAAGATCCCCTGGAGAAGGGAATGGCTATTCACTCCAGTATTCTTGCCTGGAGAATACCATGGACAGAGGACCATGGGGTCACAAAGAGTCAGACACAATTGAGCGACTAATACTTTCTTTCCCTTACAAGCCAAGAGAAAAGGCTTCAAAATGAAATCTGTCTTACTAGTATTTTCATCTTGGATTTCCCAGCCTCTAGAACTGCGAAAAACAGATTTCTGTTGTTGGTATTCTATCATGGCAGCCCAAGCTGACTAAGATGGTACTATCCAATATTGTTTGTTCAGTCACCAAGTCATGTCTGACTCTTTGTGACCCCATGGACTGCAGCATGCCAGACTTGCCTGGCCCTTACCATTTCCAGAGTTTGCCCAAGTTCATGTCCATTTAATCAATGATGCCATCCAACCATCTCATCCTCTGTCACCCTCTTCTTCTTCTTCTGTCTTCAATCTTTCTCAGCATCAGGGTCTTTTCTAATGAGTCCACTCTTTGCATCAGGTGGCCAAAGTGCTAGAGCTTCAGCTTTAGCATTAGTCTTTCCAATAAGTATTCAGAATTGATTTCCTTTAAGACTGACTGGTTTGATCTGCTTGGTGTCCACGGGATTCTGAAAAGTCTTCTCCAGCACCACCGAATTCTTCGGCATTCAGCCTTCTTTATGGTCCAGCTCTCACATCTGTACATGACTAGCCTTGACTATTTGGATTTTGTCGGTAAAGTAATGTCTGCTTTTTAACACACTCTCTAGGTTTGTCATAGCTTTCCTGCCAAGAAGCAATCATCTTCTAATTTCATGGCTGTGGTCACCATCTGCAGTGATTTCAGAGCCTAAGACGAGGAAATCTGTCACTGCTTCCACCTTTTCCCCTTCTATTTGTCATGAAGTGATGAGACTGGGTGCCATGATTTTAGTTTTTTTAATATCAAGTTTTAAGATGATTTTTTTTACCCTACTCTTTCACCCTCATCAAAAGGCTCTTTAGTTTCTCTTCTGCTATTAGAGTGGTTTCATCTCATACCTGAGGTCGTTTTTATTTCTCGAGGCAATCTTGATTCAAGCTTGTAACTAGGGGAGGGAACGGCAAACCACTCCAGTATACTTACCATGAGAACCCCACTATACAGTATTACTGTTCACAATATCAAGTATTTCTCAAGAGCCTCTTCTGGGTATATACACATATATTCTATAAATATTCTACTTAGATCCTCTTAAATCTTGAGTTTTTCACTTACTATTTTAGCATGAGTATTTCCTTCTGTCATTTCTATAAGTGTGTGGCCCAGGTTAGCAACTATCTAGGTAATTGGCTGGTAAGTTAATATTTATTGGAGGTTTCGGGAGTGACCCCCACGGATGCTAGATTTTCTCATCTTGTCTGGTTGTGATTTTCCTGGAAATGGAAGGTGGGGGTGGGGGGTGAGCAGGTGACAGTAGGGGCCTGAGGGTCCTGCCGTCTGGAGAAGCGGTGAGGGGAGAA